GAACAGAAAATGTAGTATTCATTCATTTCTAATGGATTAGGATGATAATTTTTTTGTTTTGTTTTGTTTACGATGGACGGATGACCGATTATGATCATCTTTATCGTTCACTATCAGTGGGCACTATATACATCCTGATTTTTTTTCAGTTGCTAAATAAAATGAATGGCTGTTATTGTATTGAATTCACATAAAAGCAAAAAAAAAATCATTTAGCTGAACAAAAAAAAGGCTCATCAAGTAAAGCATCAAGTTTGAATGTATGCCACATATAGTGGCTACTATCGATCCACGATTCATTCATCCGAACAACAATAACAACAAAAAATCGTGTGTATAATGTATGTGTGCCCTATTGTCTTAGCATCTTTTTTTTATTTAGCTTATTTAATTCAATCGATGCTGCTGCTGTTTGTATATGCAATACCGGATCAATCTGGGACACACATACACACAATTGATTGTTTTTTTTTTCATTATATATTGGTTGTTGTTGGTTGATCATGATGGCCTGTAATCGATATCTTTTAACTCTATATGAATATGATAAGGATGCGATACATCGATCGATCGATTGATTGATTGATTTGATTGTGTTTGATTCTAGTTCTTTTATTTTTGTTTTTTATTGAATTTGGGTTGTTATTTCCGTTCATTTTTATATCAATTGTTATCGATCAATATCAATAACATTGCAATCGATTGGTCATTTTGATAAATGTCATAGATGACATGAATCAATTCAACCAAACAATTTCATGTCAATGGTGGACATCTTCATTAAAGTTTTTTATTCTCAACATGAAATAGAAAAAAAAATTTGCATCTACATAGTTAACATTTTTTTTGACCAAATGTTTCATCTGATCAAATAAATTGATCATCAATTGTCATCGATAATTTCAATGTTCATGACATAGATAATCGTGTGTAGTGTGTATAATGATTTCTTACTAGCTTGTCAATACTAATGAATGTTCATTAATTACTTTTGTTCACATTGAAATAAGAATCATTAGCTAACATACTTGTTAACAACAATCTGATTTCGATAAATCTGAACCGAATAATTCCATACAAATTAAAGAAAAAAAAAATCCTTTGATGTCATGGAAAATAATCGACCACAAGAAAACCATTTCTTTTCATCTTTTCATTCACTAATTTGTTCTTTTTTCTACCAAGTTCTATCCACCATTTACAGATCATCATCAGATACAATTAATCTTTATCATCAACAACAACAACAACGATAATAAATGATGAAGATTTTAAGTTTTTCTCATTAGCTTCTGTGAATCTTAAGAATGAATGAATGAATGTATTGAGATAAGTGAATGAGAAATTAAAGAATTATTACAGCTGCTAAAAGTTCATATCTATATAATATAACAGGTGATTATAACTTATTAGTTAATTCGGTAAATCATCATCATCATCATCATTGTTGAACTAACCATCATATCTATGATTGTGATCTATATCTATAATTCAATCTGATCTGTTTTTAGCTAGAATTTAATGAAAAAAATATCCTTGTTATTAACAAAAAAAAAGTATAGATTCTTAGATAGATTCAAGTCATGAACCCACACACACACACACAAATGAACAAATGTGAGAGGGTTCTTGACTACATCTAAATCTGAATGAATGAGATAGTGAGAAAGAAAAGCACGACAAAGAAATTATATTTTTTTCTGGTCAATTCAGTTCAATATGTTATTGTGTTGTTATGTGATTCTCGATGTCCGCGATATGAAGCCATGATGATCATTTCGACTATAATTAAGTAGAATGATCATGGTGGTCATACATTATTGTTGTTGTTGTTGTTGTTTTTAATCAAAGAATAAGGTAAGGAGAAAGAAAATGTGATCGAAACGAAAATGAATCAAAAAATACAAAATAAAAAATAAATGAATGAACATTGAACAAAATTATAGCGTGAATATTTTAGCAAAAAAAAAGCCAACAAAATGTTTAACATTTTCACCATTATCATGTATATTCTAAGAGTGCATTTGGGAGATGCTAAAATTGACCCAAAAGGTAAGTGAATTTATGATTCATGTTCGACATCAATCGATGATCACTGACAACAACCAAAAAAAAAACGAAGAAAAAAAACATCACGATCCAATCATCAAACCATTCGACTGGAAAACATCTATGTCATCCCTCTCTCTCTCTATCTTACAAATCGTTGTTACAAAAAAAAACTACCAACAGGTATCTTCTTGACCCAATCATCCTCTCATTTAACGATAATAATTTCGATTTATTGAATCTTTATATTTTTTTGTTTTTTGTTTTTGTATCTATCATTCCTAAAACACTCTTTTTTGTTTGGAAACTTTTCAATATTCAATTTGTATCCAACAAGTTTATATCGATTCATTTTTTTTTCTTCTTCTTCGAATTTTTAAATTTCCGGTGAAAATGAATCAATTAATATATAATAAAATATGAAAATAAATGAATGAATTGAATAGATTCGATGATCGAACTCAAGAAAAAGAAGGGGATTTTTTTTGCAATATTTTGTTGTTGTTGTTGTTTTTTTGGTAAGGTCGTGCCATACAGCTTAGCTATCATCATCATCATCATGATCATAGGAAAAAAACATGCATCAAAAATATGGACACATCAGAACAGAACAAGTCATTCATTCATTCATTTATTCATTCATTCTGATCATCATCTATGGAGATTTAAAAAAATAATAATATTGTTTGATGTGAAAAACTCGTGTGCATTGTGGTCTTATTTATATTCTTACGAAATATCTATTTCTCATGTGTGTGTTTGTGTTTGTGTGTGTTGATGTTTGTCGATTTCGGTATTTTACCAAACATATTAACCAGAGATTGCTATAGCAAAGAATGCCAAATCTAACCGCAGAAAAAAACTTTGCATATGTTTTTGTTTGTGTGTACATTACATAGAATGGTTTTGTACGAATAACGAAAAAGAAGACAAAAAACAACGATCAATCGATGATGTTGTTTTTTTTTTTTGGTAAACATGGATTGTTGATTCTTTCATTCATTTAATATACAATATTGTTTGATGATGATAATATTGCTGGTGTATAGAATGTTATAATGCGTTACATTTTTGCTACTAAATGTTGGGGGAAGGGGAAAAAAGTTAGAAAAAACATTAGAGGATGTAAAGAATGGTTGATGTCGATTCATTAAATGAATGAACAATACCATATACGATAACATCATAGACCGATTTGTCCACCGATTTATATAAACATATGTATGTGGAATCTAATACAATATCAATATGTTGTTGTAGCTGAAATGGCCAAAATTTAAAAGAGAGAGAGAGAGAAAAAAAAAACATCAACCAACCAAACCATTTTTCAACCAAAAAAAAAAAAAAAAAGAATAACCCAAAAAATATTTTATAAAAATTTTTCCGGGCCG